AGGGTGGCAAGCAGCAAGGAACATGGAAGTCCTGGTAATGTCTTTTTCTCATTGTGATCGGAAACATACTACATTCTTGCTACTTCTGTAATGTTATTAATTATGCTAATGGTTTCCTATTGCTGAATTTTACTAGCAATCCAGGTTTAAGGGATTATGGATCATGATAAAATATTTTAGTGTGTTGACACAATGATTTATTTTCCACATTGAATGTAAATTTTACTAAAAACCAAAATGTGACCAGAACATTTAAAAATGATCTCAATCATTTGGCAACTCAACACATAATAATTTAATGGTAAGCAATGTTTAATTGTATGAAAAAATGATCTTAAAACAAGTTATATTCATCATGAACAGAAAATTAATGAAGAGCCTTTCTATAACTAAATTACTTTACAGGGATACATTCAAGAATTTTTGTATTTCCTGCTGTTTCAATTAATGACTACATACATAAAATTTTAAACCCTTTTTATTATTAAAAAAATCTAATACAATAGAAAATATAGATAGTAAAATTCACAGATACATTTCCCCTGTAAAATAGAGTGTTCATTGACAAGCCTCAGCATATAATAAAATATGACCTTTTTTTACCTCTTTATGTACTATACACAGATTACCAGTAAGTACCCCAGTGTCTCATGGCCTAGAAGGGTTTGAATTAGTAATATGTCACATTGGGAAATTCCAATTTTTAATGTTAAAATACACTACTACTTTGTTTAGAGTTCAGATCCAAGGTAAACTTACTTTCCTTTCTCTGAGATAAATGTATATAATATCTCACAATGGTTTCTAATATTTAAAGGTTTTACTCTTATATTCATCTAGCCTAGTTCTCTATCATGTTCTGTATGGCTTACTCTGAGCAGCATTTCATATAACTCATATATACACTTCCTAAAACTTAATGGGAAAATTAGCTGTTTTATATTCTTAAATACTTTAAGTAGCATTGGCATATCGAGTAGTACCTTAGTAGAATTTCTCTCTATACTATGTTAGTTTGGTGCTATGTTTAGTGGGAGGATACTGACTAATCTTTATATTACATTTATAAAAATGCTACAGGCTCTATTTTTATGCAGTAAATATTGATAAGATTTATATTTTGAAAATATATCACATATGTTTGTATGGTAATTTGCATTGAAATGCAGTTATATCCTTATCTTTATATAAATATGTGACTGTTATTTGTGCTATAACTGATTGACAAGTCCTTGTCAAGCTCCGTATGATCCAGTTTTTTTAAAAATCACTTATAGGGACCAGCAGTTAGCGTAATGACTATGTCGCTGGACTCCCACATAGTCGACCATGGTTCGCGTCCTGGACCCAGTGGCTTAAACTCTCACCGGGCACATGTGCATGCACACCCAAGATCCCGCAAAAACCTCTCCAAATAAATAAATAAATAAATAACTTATAGTCCAAGTCTGAATACTTCTAAAGGCCTAATTGCTTTCCAAATGTCTTAGCAGGCTTGCTTCCTCCTTCCTTCCTTTCATTTATTTATTTATTTATTTATTTATTTTGGTATGAGAGATTTCTGCTATAGGACATGTGTGCTCACTGAAGAGACAGAGTGAGACAGAGAAACAAAAAGCAAGAAATCACCCCCCAGGGGGCATAGTTATGCCAATTCCTTCTCCTCTTGGGATCTTGGGCATGTACACACACGTGCCTAGCATGAGTTTTAAGCCACCAGGTCTGGGACTTGAAGCACAGTTGACTACATGGGAGTTCAGCAATGCAACCATTAAGCCATCTGCTGGTTCCTGCTCTCATTTATATATTTGAAATTAAATTAAAGTTTAGACCAGAAATTTGGGAGCTAAAAAAAAATTAGAATTTTATTAGGGACACATTTCTGGGAAGCAGGGAATCCAGAAAGAAGCACGGATTACCTCCTAGTCCCTCATGTTTCAGACACCTTCATTTTCTTTTCCTTCCATGTGAGCTCATCTGCCTTCAGAGATCAGGAATAAGAAAGCGTCTTCAAGCCCTCGTCTCTCTGGAGATGCTCACTAAAATTTGTCATTGGTTTGGGAATTGATAGATGGGGCCAAATTGTTTAAAATATCTTCACCTTTCCAAGTGTGCCCTGTCATTACTGCTATAGGTGAAATGATAATTACAGTCCTGAGGGGAGGGGAGGTCACATGACTAAGACCCATATCTCAGCCTAGCTGCTTCCTCACACTCACTCACTGTCTGTCCTGACCATCACTCTGGGCCATTCTTTCTGGCATCAGGATGAAGTAAGGTGAGTATTGTATATTTTGGTATGCCAGGGAGAATATGAATGGGAAGAAATTGTCAGGAGGCAAAGTGTTCTTGCCTGGAATAGGGATTCCTTGGAGCTATATACAGAGCTAGTGTCAATGACAGAAGGAAATAATCACTGAGCAGAGAAGGTATGTGAGTCAAGGCCACAGGCCAGTTCCTAACTTCTCCTAAATTAATTTAACACAATCCTTGCAGTTTAGCATTGTTAGCTTTTGATGTGTGAAGCCATGAATCTGTATCTTTTTAAATTCTTTAGGATAATTTGAAAATTAGCTTTTTTCATGTTCTAAAAGAATCAGGGACTTTTCCAGCATTAGGAGAGTATTTCTACAGTACTTTAATTCCTGCAATAGTGTCTAAATTGTAGCAGATTCAATTATCTTATGCTATTCTGAAATAATTGATACAGATTTTTTATTTTCTTTTGCATATGATATACATAAAACACACAGATCTGTGTGATGATAGAAAACATTTGTTATCTATTCATTGTGGTGAGATTCTTTTCCTTCTTGAAGTCAGTAAAGAAGACTAAGTCAAAGGTAACTTGATAAACTGAGGTTTACGTATTAGAAAAAAAAGTCCCAGTCTTCAGTAGTTTTTAGAATTAAATTATGTTGTGCTGTTTTCTGGCTTTCAAAGACCATCCTAATGTCATTCCTATGTTCAATGTTTATTTTAATACTATTTTAATTTATTTAGAATGTAATTCCCCAACCTCCACTTTTTTTATCTTAATGGGTTTATGTTTAATAAACTTAGCAATTCTGATATAAAAATAACTTCCTTGGTACTTATGCCTTCAAAAATGCATACTAATAATCTGTGTAATTAGTGATCATTGAAGTTCTTCATTATATTTCTAAAATTTTTAAATACTTTTAAAAATATTTTTCATTTCATTTTCTTTTATACATTCAATCACATTAATTATAATATTTTATGTTACTCATATTTTGTGTTGCATTGCTTATCACAAAGTCATTTTATTATGTGCTCTTTTTTGGTTAAAACTGAAAAAATTTCCATCTAATTGTAACATTTATTGTTAATACACATGATAAATTCCATTTCTTCTTAATATTATTCTTTTGCAATTACATTAAAACAATGGCATGTATGTTCTATTTTGGTCTTTATATTATTATATGATAGTTGTCTTTTAAATTAGATTTATCAATATATTATATAGTTCCCGATCACAATTTTGTTTTAAAAGTAAGATTGTTCCCTAAAAAACTAAAAACATATACAAAAAACTTAAAATATGTGCTATATTAGAAGAAAATAACAATAGCAGAGATTTACACATCATGGTTAAGATCATAGTCATTTTTTTTTTTTTGGAGAGGTTTTTTCACTATAGGGCACATGCACTCACCAGAGACATAGAGACAGAAAGCGAGAAATCACCCCCCAGGGAGGATGGTCATGCCACAATCCCTTCTCCTCCACTCTCCTCTCGGGATCTTGGGCACGCATGCACACGTGCCCGGCGTGAGTTTTAAGCCACCGGGTCCGGGACGTGAACCGCAGTCGACTATGTGGGAGTTCAGCGACATAGCCATTACGCTAACTGCTGGTTGCCAAGATCATAGTCATTTTTTGACTCTACCTCTTGAAAAGATTTGATGTTAAAAATGTCTTTCAGATTTCCTAAGTTGTTTGTATATTTTAAGCTATAAAACAGGAATAATAATACCTTTTATATATAAGATTTCAGTAGAAGGGTATTAAAACACCAACATAGTAATCTTATACAGTGGATAAATTTTTTTTTTCCTTTTAAAGAAAAAGCTCTCCAAAAGGGAGCATGACTTACAAAATTTTATGGTTGGAAACAATGTGTGGATAATAGTGGATGTGTGCAGCCTTAACAAAACAGCCTTCCTGTTTTCATGCAGGATCCTCTCACCCCAAGTTGGGTTATCAGTCCCTGGAAAATTACACATGGCCTCCAGTGACTTGACAGTAGGAGTGATCTTCTTATCCCAAACCATAGTTGGATTCCTGGGGAATTTCTTTCTTCTTTACCATTACAGTTTCTTCTATTTCACTAGATACACATTGAGGTCTACAGATCTGATTATCAATCACCTGACTGTAGCCAACTCTTTGGTCATATTCTTTAAAGGAATTCCACAGACAATGGCAGCTTTTGTGTCAAAGTATTACCTGAGTGATATAGAGTGCAAACTTGTCTTCTATGTTCACAGAGTGGGCAGGGGTGTGTCTATGGGCAGCACCTGCCTCTTGAGTGTCTTCCAGGCCATCACCATCAGCCCCAGAGACTCCATGTGGGCAGAGCTGAAGCTACAAGCTCCCAAACACACTGGCAATTTCAGCATCTTGTGCTGGATCCTGAACATATTGGTCAATATCCAGATTCTTCTGTACATGAGTGGCAAATGCAACTGTAAAAACAGCACTAAAATAACTGACTATGGATACTGTTCAGGGACTGTTAGCAGCAGTACTGTACAACCAGTACATTACTTACTGTTATCATCGTATGATGTTTTGTGTCTGGGACTCATGATCTGGGCCAGCGGCTCCATGGTTTTCATCCTGTTAAGGCACAAGCAGCGAGTCCAACACATTCATGGAACCAGCCCCTCTCCCTCGTGATCTCAGGGTACTTAGGCTCACCTCTCCATGTTATGGGAGAAATGAACAGCTCCCTGAGCTGGTCAGGTAGCTATGCATTTTGTGTAGTTTTTCTCTATTTTCTTTTCCTTTTTTTTTTTTTAATAGTAAAACGTTACTTTTTGTTTTTGGCATGGTTTTATCCTCCACAATAAGTAGTCACATAGCAGACAAGATGTGAACAACAAACGGATTATCTTCCCTCTTAGGATCTATCATATGGTAGAAGCCAAAATTTAGTGGAATGTTAGTTTTCATTTTATTAAATATTGAAATAGAGAGCTTTAGAGGTTAAGAATTTATAATAAATAGGGCATAAAATAATTTGCACACAATACAAATAGCCTATATGATTATTTAACTTTACACTCGTTAAGTTAAAATTCTTTTATTGACCTGGTGTAAAAATATAGGAAGTATAAGTAAAATGACACAGAAAAGCCCTACAAACAATTAGTCAATAAATAAGAAGGAAAACTAGTGGTCTTATTGCATGTGGCTTGCTGGGATGGACCTAGAGAGTAAATTATAGACCAGGATGATGAAGACATTGTAGATTTTGTTTTAAATCTTACTTCCACCAAAAAGTTTTTACATATTTTAATTGACTAGTTTTCTTTAGTATGATAGCACATTTCAAATGTTTTTATGTAATAGAATTCTCCTGATTAATATGAGATAAACTATTAATTTTAGTTACAAATATTAATACAAAGTCTAAAAGAAACTTATTGATTTTTGAAACCCTTAGAAAAATGCAATAATCTGTGAGGTAGACCCACATGGGAAAATTGTGTTTGTGTTTGGAGTCTTCCTGAGTATGCCTGTATGTCATTATATAACCACTCTGTCAGGGGTGTTTTATCTCTATTTCACTTTCTGTCTGTATTTCTCTCACCCATGAAATGAAGAATAAAACTTTAAAAATAAATAATATTTATAGCTCTTGATAGAGTTCTTTTAAACCATTAGAGACTAATATAAACAAAGTACTAATCAACTTAAAAACTGATATACAAATATTTTCTGTAAAATATCCATTAAAAATGAAATACTAAAATAACATAAATAAAGTCTCAGTTCTTGAATCTTCTCTTTTGGAGAGGCCTTTGCTATAGGACGCATGTGCTTGCCAGAAAGACAGAAAGAGACAGAGACAGAAAGTGAGAAATCACCCCCAAGGGAGATGGCCATGCCACAATCCCTTCTCCTCCATTCTCCTCTCGGGATCTTGGGTATGCATGCACACACACCAAATGTGAGTTTAAGCCACTGGGTTTGGGAATTGAACCGCAGTCAACTCCATGGGAGTTCAGTGACATAGCCATTATGCCAACTGTTGGTCCCCTGTTTCTGAATTTTATTAAAATTCTGGTTACTTTTAACTACCCTTTTCTCATATTTTAAAGTTTTAGGAGTTTCCATTTTAAATCTATTTTATAGAGCAAAGAAGAAAAGGAAAGCCATGGAAAGATCTCATGATACTATTATCTAGCATTATTCAGAAACTTTAAAACTAACCCTATGTAAGTTATACATTTGAATACAAAATTAATATGTGAGAATATAAAATGCCTGAAAATACTGTGTTTAGAAATATAAGACAGGGACCAGCAGTTAGCATAATGGCTATGTCACTGAACTCCCACGTAGCCGACCGTGGTTCTGGTCCCAGATCTGGTGGCTTAAACTCACGCTGGATGCGTGTGTGTGCATACCTAAGATCCTGAGAGGAGAATTGAGAAGGGTTTGCAGTGTGGTCATCTCCCCAGGGGCTGATTTCTTGCTTTCTGTCTCTCTGTCTCTCTCTGTCTTTCTGGTGAGAACATGTACCCTATAGCAAAAACCTCTCAAAAGAAAAAAATGAAATACAAGGCATGCTAATTACACAATGGGGTCATATATTCTAATATACAAAAATCAAATGACATTGTTACAATTACTAAGTAAATCATTTTAAACACTTGTAGGTTATTATTTTTTAGAGATTTTCACTGTAGGACATGTGTGCTTGCCAGAGAGACAGAGACAGAAAGTGAGAAATCACCTCCTGGGGGGATGGCCATACCACAATCCCTTCTCCATTCTCTTCTTGGGATTTTGGGAATGCATGCACATATGGCTGGTATGAGTTTCAAGCCACCATGTCTAGGAGTCAAAACACAATCAACTACATGGGAATCCAGCAACGTAATCATTATGCCATCTGCTGTTTCTCCCTTGTAGAATTTTTTAAATAATAAATTAATGTAGAAAAGTATGCTCTAACAGAGAACATCACAACTATTGGTAACAAAATATCATATAAATGGCCATTGAGCCCCTGAAAGTTTTCTCAGGATCCACACACACTGGAGAAAAGCCGATCAAAGCTACAATGAGATATTACATTATAACTATCAGGAAATAAAAACTACAATAAGTTATTTCATTATACCTATTAGGTTTATCACACTATACCTATTAATATAGATAAAAGAAGGTGGAAATGTAGAGAAATTAGAAAACTCATACAGTAGTGGTAGGGTTGTAGAATGATACAGCCATTTTGTCAAATATTTTGTCAGTTCCTCCACAGGTTACCATATGTCTCGGTAATATCACTTTTAAGTATGTGACCAGCAAAAACAAGAACACATGTTCACAGAATAATTTGCATATTAATTCCACTCATAATAATGGAAACATTATTTAAAAGAGAAAATAAAAAGGAAACAACCCAAATATTTATCCCTGGGTAATTACTTGAATAAACTGGTATGTTCATGTAATGGAATAGTATTCAACTATGAAACAGATGAAGTACTAAAATATAAAATGATATGCATGGATATTAAAATAATTATGCTCAATGATAAAGCCAGACACAAAGGACACATAATGTATAAGCCTATTATTATAAAAATCCAGGATAAGCAAACCTGTAGAAATAAACCTGTAGAAGCAAACCTGTGGATTAGTGGGTGCCAGAGACATTATAGGGGAGAAAAAAGAGGTGCCAGAGACATTAAAGGGGAGAAAAAAGAGGAAGTGACTGCTTAATAGTTTTGGATTTTATGGGCGGATGATGCGACTCTTCTGAAATCATATATTGGGAATGGCTGCACGATGCTAAATAAACAAAACACACTTAATTGTAAAGTGTAATATGGTTAATATGTTGAATTTTATGACATGTGAATCTATCTCAATAAAAAAAATTTTGAAAACAAAATTCAAATCCTTATTGTCCATATTTTTATTTTACTAGTTTGTCAGTTTGAAACGTAACTAATAATACAGACATTAAATTAGCAGAAAGAGGCCAGTTGGTGGTGCAGCAGTAATGTAACATTTTATGATGTTCAACTCATTTAAGTGTCTTAACGCAAGCCCCGAGGTCTTTCTGTATGACCTGGTTGTACACACGTGCCTGTGATCCAGGCTAGCTGAAGCTGAGGGTGATCGCAACCTGAGGACCCTATTTGGGGTGCCTCTGTCTCTCTCTCTGTGCCCTCTCTGAAGAAAAACGTACATGCATATGTTTTTAACAATAAATTAACAGAAAGAAAAATTGAAGTGAAGGAAAAAGTCACAAAAAGTTGCATCAGTGCTTTGGATTGCGCTAGGAAGGCAAGATAGATGGATGCACTCAGATTTCAGCCTTGCTTATGGGTCACGTCTCTGTCAAGAATATTTTTTTTAAAGAATCATTTTATTTATTATCATTATTTTTCAATTTT